TCGCCCCCCCAGCCAGTTTTTTACCCAGTGAAGGGTACTTCCATCCAAGCCATCAGCCGGCAGCTTCTCCAGGAGAATGCAGTGCCAAAAGCCTTGCTGGAGCCCAGGCAGAGAACATCCACAGCCTTTCCCTCATCCACCAGGCGGGTTACCCGGTCATGGCAGGAGATCAGGTTGGTCAGGCAGGACCTGCCCTTCATGAACCCCTGCTGGGGGGGCCTGATCCCCCGATTGTCCTCCATATGCCTGGTGAGCGCACTGAAGCTCCCTCCACCAGGATCACTTGCCTGGTGATGGTGGGTAGGAAGGGTGGGTCCCGCGGGACACCGCAGCTCAGAAAACGCTGCTCTCCACCCACCTTCCTGCCCTTCACAGCAGCTACCCCTCTGCCTCCCAAAGATGCCAGGAACGCAAGCAAGAAACTCGGGTTTGCTCTGCTCCTCATGGGCCTCCTAGCTGCTATTGCACTAGGAGGCCTTTCCCACTGGGGCATGGAACTTTTGCTGTGCTGATTCTGGCTATAATCATATTACATTAGCCAAATTCTGTGTGCACGCAGTGTAACGTGACATTTCTGTAGCATTTTTTTACATTGAAGGCTGAAAAAAAACCTCTTCACAAGCTATGAACAAGATTACATTTTGAGCTGATGCAGCATGCTCCAGCAAGGTTTCACGCACCATGTGTGATCAGAGAAGAAACAGTTTGGATCTTCTCCCTATTCTAGCAAGCCTCAAAAATGTGGGACAGCCCAACTGGATATCCACCATCCAGAAATGAAAAGCAGCAGTCAAGAGGCAATCAGATTTGAGGTATTCAGAGAACCTGCTGGCCAATGCCAGCAAGCTGTGGGCCAAAAGGAGCGTTCATGCTCTGACAAAGCACAGATCCCATTTTTGACACCACCGGCAGAGCAGCATTCCCGCTCATCTGATGCTGAGGAGTGAAGGGTGGGAGGAAGGCTGGCAGCACCAGCACCGTGGTTCACAGAGCCCAGGCAGCTGAAAACATGACACTCAGACAACTGCCATCCCCCCCAGACAGCGATCATGGGCCACCGGCGTAGACAACGCGGCAGATAAAGGGGGAAAATCAAAAAAAGCACCAGGTACAAGAAATGTGAATGATGGCCGTGCAGAAATGGGTAGCATTCATGTTTGGTAACTTGCTGATTACACGTGAGTGAGTTGATAGGAACCTACTCTCCCTGCAAGTCAGAACTCAAGCTCTTACTCTGGATCTTGAGAAATAAGTCATGCTGCCTTTTCTTTCAGTAAAACTCTCCAGAGTAATGTAAGAGTGGGAACCCATTATGAAGAAAAAGATTATCAGGATATGGAGAAAAATATAAAAAATGTGTGGTCAGACATTACAGTCGCTTATCTGAGTCTGAAAGACAAAGAGTAATCTTTCCCTTTCTGCACAGGAGTAACATTTGCAAATTTTAGCTTGCTTTTGTTGGAAGTGTCCTGGATAGATCTGAAAGCAAGCCCGACGTAATTTAGAAAGTGAACCCCCCCCCCCGTCTTCCTTTCGAACAGGTCAGCCATCTCTAGGTTTTATCTAATATCATAAAAAAGGAAAAGCTTTCCTCTGTGCACAACGATTGCTTCATCAGATGATTCTTGTCTCTGGGCACTGAGCAGCCTTTTGCTGAATGGAGTTGGAGTGCATGCTCCTTAGTTGGAAGAGCATAATTTCCAGCATCTCCCCGGGCTCTGCTGCGAATGGTGAGGCACAGGAAAAGGGAAATCGCTGGTATTTCATGTTTTTACTGTGGGAAGGATTCATTGCTTTGCTCAGAAGCTTGAGCACTTTACGGGTGAGAACAGGTCTCCCACTCAAAATGAATGCAGTACCTCCCTGTTGCCCATGCCCTGTGAGTGGATGTGAATGACATAAAAACGCATGTGAGTTTTCTGTGAATGTCATCACCCTGTGACACTGAAACTTTGAGAAACCTCACCCCTTTTGAATTTACTGCAGATGTGCAATTCGGCGCAGTGATCAGCCACTCCCTTGGTTTTCTTGCTGAAGGCAGTTATCACAATTACCACTTCATAGAACCATGGAATCACAGAATCCTTTGAGTCGGAAAAGCCCTCTAAGCTCACCAAGCCCAACCACTCCCCTAACCCTGCCATCCCACCACTAAACCCTGGCCCTAAGCACCTCACCTGCCCAGCTTTTAAATACCCCCAAGGATGGGGAGTCGACCCCTTCCCTGGATAGCCTCTTCCAGTGCCTGACAAACCTTTCAGGGAAGGAATTTTTCCTCATGTCCAACCTAAACCTCCCCTGGCACAACTTGAGGCCATTGCCTCTTGTCTTATGGCCTATTACCTGGGAGAAGAGACCAATACTCACCTTGCTATAACCTCCTTTCAGGTAATTGTAGAGAGCAAGAAGGTCTCCCCTGAGCTTCCTCTTCTCCAGGCTAAACAAACTTGGAGTGCTGTATCCTGTTCTGGACTCCCCAGTACAAGAAGCATGGTCATACTGGAGAGAGTCCAACAAAGGGCCGAAGATGATTAAGGTGCTGGGATTAAGGGATCTCGCCAATGTTTAGACATAACCAAAGGGACGGTGCAAAAAAGGCAGAGCCAGGCTCTTTTCGGTGGTGCCAAGTAACAGGACCATATAGTTTATGCTATTATGCTGATCTTATGCATAACACACTGGTTAAACCTCACCACTTTGAAATCCACATCAGGATGGATCTTTTCCCCTGTTCAAAATGGATTCATGGCAGGAACAGTTCATAAAGAACTAATGTGACCACAGCTGGGATGCACATATGTAACATCTTGCAGAGAAATGTTAGGGCAACCATAAAACTTACTGCCTTGACACACCAGGATTTTATTATTCCAATATGTATCATTTTACACTATAAATGCCAATAATAATTCTGAAAGACTAACGTGGCTTCTTCCTGCATAGCACATAATGCTTTAGTGTGAAGACAGTGATGCAGAGATAATGAGAAATGAAAGCAAGCACAGGAGTAATGCAAAGTAATGTGGAAAAATTTAAAAATTACAATTAAAACCAAAAGGGTTGGCTACAGGGCTAGGCAGAACATCCTAAGAAGCAAAGAAGAAAGTGGATAATAAAACAGTTATGGCCTTTACACCCTACACAACATTGTCAGGGTATGGCTTAGATGTTCAATGGAGAGATTTATAAGCTTCTCGCAAAGCCAAGAACCAAGGACGGATTTCCAATGTGTTAGGCACCACAAAAATACAGAGTAGCAGAGAATTCCTCTCCAAAACAACTCTCAATTTAAATAGCTGATACTGTGAAAAGAGAAAAGCGATATGACACACAGCAGGGTGCATCTCAACACAGTTGGGGCTGCTTGATATAGTTTTAAATAGAAGAGTGCTAAACTAGATTAAAAGGACTGATACTCTATCAACCAGTGACTAACTCTCTAATGCCTTTCAGTACTTATTCTCGTAAAACAATGCTACTGCAAACCCTCTTGTAATACTTTCATAACACCATTCTATGTACCCTAAAGCAGTTAATTGCTAAGAAAACAGTAGCTGCTAATAATGGTCACAGGATGTGGGGACAATGGAGAAAAGTTATATTTTGTGCAGATGGATACTCCTGCTTAAGCTAAAAATATTTAGGAATATACTAACCAACTTCAGTAAGAGATAGGCAAAGAAAAATTATTTTGGAAATTCCATAGCATGACCTCTTGATATCCTTAAGATAAATTGCTACATACACACTGGAATCAATTGTTTAGGAAAGTGATTCAGAAGTCAAAAGCAAATTTGAAAATAAAACCCACCTGGCTCCTTCTTATCACTTCACCCCCGGCCTTTATCTGCCATTTACCATAACATTAATAAAATAAATAAATAAATAAAATTTACAACATGAAATAAATAAAAATGACAACAGCAATAAAAACAATCCTCTTTCAGAGTCTTGCAGTGCTAATTAACGGGTCTGTTTTACGTTACCATTCCGGTGGACTGTCGTGAAAACAACCCCCGCTTTCTGCCGTCCTGGATCCCCGCTGGTAACACCCGCTGCCTGCCTCTGGGGTTGCTTTACAGGCACGTCCATGGTGAGGACAACTTTTGGGTCTTCTCACTCCTGCAGGGGTCGAAGCTGGAAGTGCCCTTGTGGCTTGCTAAAGGCCTACATGACAGCAAAAGGAGAATCATTTCTGTGGAGCTGCCGAAGATTTACAAGGAAGCCTGGAGGACAGTGTTCAGTGCCGATGCCAATGTGGTCGATCTGCATAAAATAGGGCCATACTACTATGGATTTGGCTCCCAGCTCCTCAATTTTGACAACCCAGAGAATCCTGAGATAGCCCAGACCATCCTGCAGGCGAGTATCCGAACTGAGCCTTGAAATCTGGCTTTACATTTCTCTGCCTTCCTCTTGTTGCCAGCTGCTCAGCAGCCTTCGGGAGGAATGCCCTGGTCCACCCCAGATGGCTCCTGGATTGCACATGGATTGTTTAGGGGGGCAACCTCTGCAGGGTGACCCTGTTGGCAACTGCACAGTTTAGTGGTGGAGGCCTCAAGTATGCGTCCAGGAGTGTAATTTTAGCTTGGGGTTTTCACACCATAAACGTGGTATTTCATAAAACCCTGTAAAACAGGACTAGAGGAGACGTGAGATTATGTAATCACGCCCGTGCTGCGAGGCAGAATTCATTCACTCTCTCTTGTTTCTGTTTTTCTGCACTGTTTTTAAGCTCTGTAACAATGTGACTTCACGCTGCTCCGGGTGATCTGTTTCAGCGTTTTGCCATCCTGGTCTGAGCAGGTTTCCTCTAGTGCTCTGTTGCGGCGGTGCAAGATCTGTCCTGTTTGTCTCACACAAAGTATACGCGGGGGGCAGACGGTGCTCTTCCCTCCTGCAGCAGTCCCAGGTCATCCAGTATCTTTCTGCGGGTCGTGCTTCCTAACCCCCTTACTGCCTTCCCAGTCGATCTGCGCCTGCTGCGATGTGCAGCGCCCCTGTCAGCACGCGGTCTCCTGCTCAGGGCTCATGCTGATGAAAGCAGAAAGGTTGCTTTGCAAATTCTGCAGGCTGTGATGCTCGTTGTGGCGCAGCACCTCGTGTTTCACGGCAGAGTGATGCTGGTGTGTGTTCGTTTTGCAGCCCACAGTGAGGTAGTCCCGATGCACATGCAGACAATCTCTTCCTGTGTTTGTACCATTCCCTATTCCTGCCTTACTGCACAACCTTACGTTAGTCCCCACTGAATTACATCCTGTTCTTTTCACGCCATCTTTCTAACTCGTCAGGGTCGTTATGAATTAAGAGTTCTGCTCCCCAACATGCTTACAGTCATCCCTCTGCCTCCTTTGGCATGGTGTTGGCTAATTTAGTAAGCAGAACATCCGTTCCTGCAGTAAGCTTGCTAACTAATAACCAAATGGCACTCGGTTCCAGAGAGACACCTGCTGAGCTCCACTTGATATGTTCCTCCCGCCTGGCAGGTGTGACGGATAATCGTCGTCACCGACTGCCCACGAGCAGTTTAGCTGAACCGTGCAGGACACCCCGGACAGATGCCCCGCTGCTGCTTCTCCTCCTCCCTTTGCAAGGCCCGGTGTTCTGCTCTAGCAGGGAGCCAGCCTGGCCTCTCAAAGTTTGTTCTTGGCAAGTCCGTGTTGGCTGTTGCTTGTCTCTCTGCTGTCTTGCAGAAGTTTCTGTATCGCTTGTTTGTTCCAGCATGTTTCCAGGAATTGATACTGATGGATTCATAATTCCCTGGCTCTTCCTTCCTCCTTCTCCATCTCCCCTTTCTTTTTTAAGAGGTAGCTGCCCTCTTTGCCAGTTTCCGGACTTCCGTGCTCCTTGGGCTTTCAAAGGCAGCTAACAGCTTGGGTTTCTCCAGCCAGCTCTCTGAGGAGCCTGGGATGATTGCTGATAGCTTTTTTCCTTTATTCTCTGAGTGAAGGCTGATGCAGTGAGCCTTTAAAGCACTGCTGCATTCTTGGCGCTGTCCACTGAAAGCTTGCTTTCTGCATTGAGGCAGGGACCGTGCCTCTCCTTGTTTTTTCTCTT